GTGTTCTGGACAAATGGTCAGTTTAAGATTACACCCAGGGGGGTTCCTAGCTTCCAGGGGGGTTCCTAGCTTGCATCTGCAATCCTTATCAGTTAACCCCCTTTCCTGCCATAAACCCCAGCTTGTGACTTAGAAGTCTAAACCCCCTACAGAAAGGATTAAATTCAAACCCCCGTCTTCACATCTTTCTTCAGTAGTGTCTCTCTGTATGTCAGGAAAGTGCTGCTGGTTGCTCAGTCACAGAGGACTTCACTACAAGAAGAGCTGCACTCTCTGCAGAGCAGCCTGGCTGAACAGAGCAGAGATGTCCAGAATACCAACAGTGAGCTCAGAACCAAGCTGGACTCTGTCCAGGAGCAGATCAGCCAGGTAATACAGCCACTTAAAATTCCACAGATTCCATAACATTTACAGTATGTAACATTAGGACAGTTAAAGCACAGTTCTTTAAAAACTTGTCAGTTTCACTTGATATAATTTAGACTGAACACATACTATACAGTATATCTAAAGGACAATAACCGTCATTATTGTTCTTCAGATATACTGTATAGTATGTGCTATAAAAACGCACACCACACAACATGCAGATATTGGAATGGGAGTGCACCTTACAAATAAAAGTGGATGTTTTATAGCACTACGGGTGCACTAATATGTGAATAAATAAAGCAAAAAGTCAAAGCAAAAACTCTGCTTTAATGCAAGGTTTATACTCCCTTCACAATTTAGGAAGGCAAATGCAATCTATCTCAGGTGCAAGGTGAACGAGTACAACTTTGGTATAAGATAATAAAAGAAGTATACTATTTTTAATTCAGTAAGCTTAGGAAGCATTTGTTAGCATATAGGGAAAAAATATGGTGACAGTACTGGAATAACAAGCTATGAAAATTGCTCTTACTGGGGCATGTCTCTCATGGTTTGAGGTCAGATCCTGTCAGATCCTGCCGACACGCCCATCCAGAGTGTTCTGTGTCTTGATGGAATGTGACAGCTTGTGAATCAGAAGCTCAAGTCATAAGCACCTGCCTAACCAAGCAGGAAAAGCTGAAAAATTCTAACACTGATGGGAATGTTTTGTCACTGAAGTCTGAGCATCATTCAAAGTACTTTTCAAGGTTACAAAAAGAAGCAATCATACAAACAAATGTTTTAGGCAATGGCATACTGTACATTTAAAACAGGAGAATATCAACTGGTACTATTTGAAATAAAAAGCCAGAATTCAGAAAATGTCATTCAGGTGAACTGAGGATTGGTATGCTAATGAGAATTATTCAACATGACAAAAGAAGTGCTGCAAGGTGCAGACAAAAAATATTAATATTAAATGTCATTGAAATTTCCATTAGTTTTCTTCTACAATTTGGATTGGCTTTGATACTCCATGAAATTCATTAGAGGAAAAATACTCCATAATAGCTTTTGGATTGCTTATGCATGAAAACATTTAAAAGAATGGGACCCTTCCTCATAATGTGTTGATTTAAAAAAAAAACTTTTTTTTGTGAACAATATAGTTCTTTCCATGATTACAAACTGAAAAATGTATTTCTTTGTGTGGCTGACAGGTGTTGAAAAGCCTTTGACAATGTCAACACAATGACATCTTTAGAATCAATAGTGAAACATGAACCAGAGGACAGAAGTAGAAATTATCTGGAACTTCCTTTGAAGCTGAGGCACTTGATTAAGCAAAGGTTTTTGGGAGTTTAGGACCAAGTATTAATTTGAAGCTGATATCTTGGGTTCTCTCAAGCTAGATGAGATCTCATTTCATTTTACTGTTTATTCCTGGTGAGGGTCTCAGTGGTTGAGCAGAGTAGACTTCCTTTTCCCCCACAACAGTCTCCATGTCCTGGGTCTGCCCTGGGATCTCTTAACAATGGGTCCTTACCATCCTTGCCATGCCCCAGTGACTCTTCTCCAAGGTCCTCCCAGATTGACGAACTCCTGACCCTGTCACTCACAGTAATCCCACAGCCCTACAGAGAAATCTGAATGAGATGCTTGCTTGAATTAGCTGTTAACTAACAAATGGGCTAGAAGGGCTGAATGGTCTCCTCTTGTTTTTTGTTATAAAAAGCATTTTAGAATCTTCTTACTCTGCTCTCTTTACAGATGCTGTCATAACTGATTGAAGCGCAGTGTCTGGCCTTAGTACAATTTGGGGGATGTTAATTTTATACAAACTAGACTAAAAGGCATTAGACTCTGGTGATCAACATCACCAGATAGACTGTCCAGCAGGATTTATAGGTAACCCTTAGATCTGTAAAAATACCTACACCACGTAGGACTGCATCTGGCCATTCCTGTCTTCAGTGAAGCAATTGATTTCCTAATTCATTATACCTTGTGTTTTGCAAGTCTTGGAGTATGACAAAAAGTGAAAGACAGCTGAAATTTCTTTATGAGTGTGAGTCAGAATGCAGTGCTGGAGGGGGCTGTCCACACTGAGCAAAATCTCTTCTCTTTTGGCTGGAGAACACAGGGCAGTGGGAACAGAAGGATTCCACCTTCCTAGGGGAGGTACAGAACCTCAAACAGGAACTGGACCAGCTTGAAGCCAGAGTGGGTGCAACTGTGCAGAGCTGTGAGTCTGTTTTGAATATTTATTCTGTTTTTACTTCCAGAGCTAAAGAAAGATAATTATTCCTTTCTCTTTACTGTAGTTTTGTATAAATTGAAATGGGGCAAAAAAATAAAAATCATATCTACTGTTATAATTATTTTTTAACCCTAAATGTAAATGCAACTCTCCTGACTGACAATGATTTAAAAAAGCCATAACAAATATGTACATGTACAGTAGGTGATAATTACAATTTACACAAACATCTTTTTTTTTAATGACAAATGTGTGAGGGATTTGAAGGATAATTCATAAATGTTATACAGCACAAAAGCTAGAAAATATAATATAATAAGGTATAATATGACCTAACTTCATATTGTTACTCAGGTCCTAATTATTGCAAGATTGAGGTTAAATTAATAGGGCTTCTGGATTTCTGTGTTTTTTTGTTATACAATGGCACTTATTTTGAGCAAATTTGATTTTTTTATTACAAATCACGTCATTCCATTAGTTACTGAATAAGGCCCTTGTTCTAAAGTGACTGTCTTGATTGAACCTCTGGATGTTTCGTGTTATTTGTATTTGGAGCAAAGCTGATACATTATGGTGATCACTTCCCCCCAAACCTGATTTACTTGAATTTCATTTCTCCAACCTAGAGTCATATACAGTAGCACATATCTTATTTGTTGTTTTTTCTTCATACTTTGGTCATTTTTCCACCTGCTGAAAAGACATCTTCTAAAATATATATTCAGCATAAAACAGCCCTGTAGTCGTATGCTGTCTGAAAATAACAAAACCAGTGTTTTAAGAAAGATGATAAATCGAAAGCACCCAAATTCAAATTCAGCACCCATTCAATATTTTCTCTTAATTAGGATGCAGAGATCACTGAAAAAAAACAATAAAATTGCTTAAAAGAAGACATGGATTATAAATATATGTGGAAGATATACATTGAAAATCAGAAGCCCTATATGTTTCATATTTATAATTTCCTGTAGGAGCCTGCCACTGCTTCATGATTCTACAACAGACACGATCAAGTGACTGCAAGAAGGGGCTTTTCTTCATTTCTACCCGTCTTCTTCAGCACTTTTTTTTATCTCTTCTGTCAGGTTTCTCTGGAGAGGTGGAGATGAGTTGTGAGGAGTGCTCCTGGCCACTGGAGCACTTGGTTCAGTTCTCTGAACCAGCAGCGCGGCTACCTGTCATCTCTCTGGGCCTGACTCAGGCCAGCCCTGGAATCAGGGTGAGAGTGGCAGATCCCGGTCAGTCTGGCTTCAAGGTGCTCATGGACAGAGCTGGGGAGACTGGCCCCAGCACTATAAAGGCCAGCTGGATCGCCTGTGCCTAGAGGAACTACAGTAGCATAGCTAGCATAGGTCCAGACTTCCCTGGGTGCTTTGAGGGACCAGAGCTAGGCTTGAGCTCTGAATTTGAACATTGCAAAGACAAGTGTGAAAACTCACTGTTCCATTTTGTGGCCTTAACAACATATTTTGGTGCTGGGCCCCATGTTCCCCTGCTTCATATTGTTACAAAAAAAGAAAGAAAAAAAAACATTTGAGGAATTTTAAATAAATGCATATTTCTATGTATTGGGGACAAGAAAGGTTTTAAGGGCTCTATAGGCCAAAAGGGACTTGGAAGCTTTGATTCCGAATGATATGTTCTCCTCATGAAAATAAACCACTACAAGTATGCATATTTTGTTTGAATAAGTGTTGAGTGTAAGACCTCTGCTTTTGTTATGTATGCTTTCATCTCACTGTGTGAGCTCAAGTCTCTGAAGTGAGCTGGGTGAAGTAAAAAATATATCAACAGCCAACACAAGAGAGAGCTGAGAAGTTATTGTTCTACAGCATGAAACCAGGAAAAAAA